AAAAGTTGAGGAATCATCCCAGATCCAAAGAAACATAAAATACAAGAAAAATTTCTCCCATATTCGCCCAGTGAAATTTCAATAAAAAGAGATGAGCATTAGAAATTCTACAGGTGAAGGGTGCCTGGGTGGCTCAGTCAGTTAAGCATCCAACTCTTGGTTTCGGCTCAGGTCATGATTCTCATGCGTTTTGAGATCGAGCCCTCCATTGGGCTCAGTGGTCACAGGGGAGTCTCCTTGAAGATTTTCTCCCTCTGCCCCTTCCCCAACTTGTTTGCATGCACATGCATGCGCTCTCTTTCTCTCTCTCTCAAATAAATAAATAAATCTTTAAAAAAAAAAAAGAAATTCTATAGGTGAGAAATTTGAGGCTTAGAGAAGTTAACTGATTTAATTCTCTAGTAGTTCACAAATAGAGTTGGATATATTCCGGATGTGTCCCACTCATAAGCCCAAGGCTAAAATTCAATCAGTACATGTCCTTGTGGCCCCAGTGCTTGTTTATAGCTGGCACCCACTCTTATTGGTTCATGTGGGTGCCAGTCTGGTCAATATTAGTGGTTTACAGCTCCACTCTTCGTGGTCTTAGTGGTCCCATACTGGTTGTTTATGGCTGCTATCCACTCTCACTAGTCAATGCAAGTGCTAGTCTAGTCTATACCCATTACAGTTGGTATCTGCTTGGGTGTTGAATGAATTAATGAATATTTGAATATCATTCCTGCCTAAGCCCACACTCTTTCAATGATGCCTATATAATTTCATGGTACAATCAAAAAAAGGGGGATGGATTAAATAGGGGATGGAGATTAAGGAGTGCGCTAGCTGTGAAAAGCACTGGGTGTTGCATGGAAGTGTTGAATCACTATATTGTACACCTGAAACTAATATTACACTGCATGTTAGCTAATTGGAATTTAAATAAAAAGTTAAAGGAGGGGCAATCATTAAAATTTTTGTGGACCGGGGGCACCTGGGTGGCTCAGTCGGTTAAGTGTCTGCCTTCGGCTCAGGTCATGATCCCAGGACGCTGGGATCAAGTCCCACATCGGGCTCCTTGCTCTGCAGGGAACCCGCTTCTCCCTCTCCCACTCCCCCTGCTTGTGTTCCCTCTCTCGCTGTCTCTCTCTCTCAAATAAATGAATAAAATCTTTAAAAAAAGAAAAAAGATTTGTGTGGACTGCAAATTTGAAGCTGGGAGAAAGAAAGAAAGGTGGTTTCTGTCATATCAACCTTTAAGCTATGAGAAATCTCTTGAACACATGCTTCCCTCTCTTCTTCCTTTCCCCTTACACACCAAGAAATGAACAACCATGCTTCAAATCTATTTACTCTCCTTCTTTTCCAGGTGGTCCAGACAAAGGGTAGATTTATCTGGTGAGCCCTGTCCCAGAAGACTTCCACAGGCAGTCATCCCAAACGGGGATGTTTAATCTAAGGGGTTTAGCAGAAAACAGGAACCAAGATACGCAGGCCAAATTGGTTGAGTAGAGAAAACAAACAGGAAGTGACCTAATGAAATACAGGGCCTGTGCTGACACCTAAAGCAGGTAGATGAAATGTGCCTCTAGCTCAGGTGTGTGTAGATTAGATGAGTTTTTAAAAGGGACTAGAGAAGAAATAGCCTGAATAGAAATCACCAGAAATGGGACCTAAAACCAAATAATTCAGCTGCCCTGCTTACTTTCCCACTTTTTAAATGCAAAAATAACTCCAAATTTCTTAGCTATAGGATTCCATCTTTGACATCCAAAGGCAAACAGAAGGCCAAAGTTTGAGCCCAGCCCTAATTTCTGCCAACACAAAGCCAAAGTCAAAGTTAAATCAAAATCCAAACATTATATTGGTATCCAGTGAAGCATCAAAGGTTGATAATGGCATTCATAAAACTGAGGCCTTTTGCCTCCCTAAGAACCACAAACTCAGATCCCACCAGGAAGTGTTAATGGAGTAGTTTAGACTTTGCTTAGGATTTGTGGGATTTTGCAGAGCATGTTCACCCCTTAAGAGACTTCCCTGAAATCACTGGGAGTTATAAGCTCATAAGAGCTGTAGAATTGGGTCCTAAATGTCATTTTCATAGCTCCTCCGTGGCCAAGCGAGGAAGTAAACAAAATGCTACTGAGCTACCTGCTGTCTTCTGTTTCCCATCCCCTCCAGCCAAAAACAGAGGCAGAGGTGGCTTCACAAAGGGTTAAAACTCATGAGAATTGTTTTTGTAATTTAAAATATTGTAAAGACTCACTTCTGTACAAGCGATGATTATCTGCATTTTTTTCCCTGCCATTTCATCTAACAAATACATTTTACAGGTTTTACAACGTTCTTTACAACTCACCTAAAACACATAATTTTCCTCCTGCTTACATCACTTGTTTATTATTTATTTATTAGATTTATATTGTGCTTTCCTCCAAAAGGCTCAAGCACCACACAGTCAACTCTTATATAATAAACATTTCATTAAACTCTCCTTAACGGCCATAAACAGGGAAGTAGCCAGAGTGGAGGCAGAATGAACAAGGACAGAAAGAAGGAGGAATCACGGGGTCTGGTGAAATAGGCAACCAAGTAATCAATATATGAGCAGGCCCAGTGATGGGAAAGTCCTGTCCTGCCACTGTCCATCAGCCCCACACGCAAAGACCCTAAGAGAGCCTTCTATTCCAAGTAACAGAGCCAAAATATCTCCATTTCTGTGTAGGGGTGAGGCATAGGTACGCAGGGCGGTGGGGAGGTGGGGGACTATGCTAGTTATCTATCAGGGCTCTCAAGAGGATATGTGAAAACAAAGATACCTACATGGACAATTGTGATCTGAAAACCAGTGGAAAGATATACATGGTAATGCTTTATAACAAATCTCCAAAACGTTAGGGTTTTTTGTTTTTTTGTCTTTTTTGCAAATACAATTCATGTTTAGTCCTCAGTTCTGCTGAGTGTATGCAACTTGCAGTGGTTCTGTAGACTTTCAGGACCAGGACAAACTAAAAGTTCAAAGATTCTCAAAATCAAAAAGTGACAGGGCGACCTCAGCTTTTAAATCCCAGGCCACACTGATTTGACAAAGCCATAGACATCCTGTGTATGTGATCTGCACACAGTGGAAGGGTAGCTAAATGGTAACTCTCCCAGCAGCTGCTGGTAGAACCAGTCCAGAAGGAGCAAAGAGGGAATATATTCTAACATGCAGAACAAAGAAGAAATGACCATTTCCACTACATGCTGCAGACAATGTAACTCTCTTGTCAGTAACACGGTAGAAGAGAATACAGCCGGAAGAAAGAATCACCATAATAGTATTATTGGTGCCCTTATTCTGTGCCAGACACTCTCCTGCTCTGGTTACACATGCTAACCTCTGTCATCCCCAGAACAAACCTACAAAGGGGGCACGATCATTTCCCTAATCTTGCAGATAAGGACACTGAGGCTTAAGTTATTTGCCCAAGGTCACTCAGTTAGTAAGTGTGTGACCCAGGATTCATACCCAGCTCAAAAGTATAGGTAAGCGCTCTTCGGTGGAAAACAGCAAACATAAAAAATTTCTGTGAGTCGACAAAGAGAAAAGGCATGTTGGATCAGGCCTCCCCACTTCAAAGCTGCTGATAGTTAACTGCACAATAGCAGGTTAGAGGCCACAAATAAAAATCTTAAAATAAGGCTGCAGCAAGCCCTGTGCAAAAGAGCATGAAACAAACTGACAGAAGAAGTATGGCAAGCCAGAGACCCCATGAAGACAGGAGCTCAGAATGGACCAGTAAGGTTATCCCTGAGCCCCAAGTGAACAGGACCTGGAAACTGGTACCTGAAATCCACAGTATTGTCTTATATAACTGATTGCAGATTTATGCCAAGTTAACTGCTGAGTTCTATAGAGTCATCCTCAGAAATCCTTTTGTGACCCCCCCCAATACAAAGACCATGCACTGAGCACTTGTTAAGCACCAAGCATTTGATACACATCATCTTATTTAAGCCTCCCAGCAACTACAATGTAGATACCATAATTATCCCCATTTTGCAGATGAGGAGGCACAGAGAGGTTGAGTAACTTGCCCAAAGTCACATAGAACTAGTAAAAAGTTTGTTTAGATGGACCCCAAGTCTAGGGAGTCAAATGGCTTGTTCTGGACCCCAGAACAGTGAGAAAATAAACCTCCCAGTTTATGATGATTTGCAACAGGAGCTCTAGGAAACAACTGTGAGAAACTCTCTCAGCTTTGTTTAAGCCAGGGTTTCTCACATTTATTTGAGCAAATAAATATTGTTCCCATGATAGGCATGAACAGCCCTTAATTCCTTTAGTGGAAGAGATATATGTTTTGGGAAAGCTAGCCAAATCTTCCTATTTTACAAATGAAGAAGCTGAGACTCGGGAAGGATGATGGACTCACATGCTCATGCTCGTGCATAGTGGGATGGAGACCAGCAGACCTCCAACCCCATTCAGGGCATTCTCTCCCAACTTGTGGTTGTTCCTTGTACTTCTCAGCTGCCTGGGAGATGGGGCGGCACACGAGATTAGGCTCTGCTTTGTGGCCACCAGAGATAGAACAGGCACCTCTCCCAAGTGATGAACATCCTCCAATCAAGTCTCCTGGATTTTTGAAGAAATTTACCCAATATTTTTCCAGCCAATTGGGGAAATTATCTTTTTTGTTGGGGGGATTGGGGCAAATATACTCAAGAAACCAATGACAAAAGCAGCTAGTCCAATGTAAACTGATGTCTCAGATGAACTTGAGCTGACTGAAATTACAAGTGCAGCTTGGTGGTCAACCCCTCACTACCACCACCCTTGCGTAAGGAAAGGGACAAGGGAAGGTGAGCCTCTTCTGTGTGAAAAGTGACAGTTTCCCTGGTACAGTGACGGGCTCATTTATCCCTTTCCTTCTTTTCGTTTTGCCTCCTCACCCTCACCCTCATCCCTAGGCATACAGAACCCAAAGAAGTAATTTCCATCCCAGCCTTCACAAAGGGGAAGGTGCTTCTCCTACCTTCCACTTGATAAACTGCAGTGGATGCCCCCCATCCAAATCCTGCCGGGAAAGCCATGCTTTCAGAAGATGGCCAGCTAGAACACTCGGCCAAACGGGAGCTGTGTGCCCTTCAGTTAGTGGAGTCCAAGAAATTGTGCAAACAGTCAGTGGACTCACCCTGACCAAAGTCTGGAATACAAATGTGTATGCAAACGAGAAGGGAGCCAGATTAAATGATCACACTTGACTGGCCGTGGCCTTGATACAAATCCAAGACACTTTGTAAAGGCAAGCATGTCCACTTTCTTCTCAGGGCACTCCCTGATTCTTAACAGAGCTGAACCAGCCTGGATGCTTCGGCAGGGCACCCATTCATCTAATCTTACCCATTTTAATAAAATACATGGACGTTGTCCTTAAAAGTCACATAATCCTGCTAGAATTTTCCCTTAACCAGTTCCTCCCAATTCCTAATCCCCACTCCTTGGAGGTAACCACTTGCAAATGTTTCTTCTGGAATTTTCTCCCATGTTATTTCAATAATAACCTGAGATTACTGCTTCTTAATTTGTTTTCAATTTTAAATAATAACTACTGAATTCTGGATATAGAGGTAGAAGATCTAACTCACTCTCTCTGTCTCCCTCCCTCTTGCTCTCTCTCCTCCTCCCCCAACAGGATGAGATTCTCTTTTTTGTTTAAATAAATACTCAATATTTATATTACTATGATTATATATGGTTCAATGCTGAGCCATGTAATAATAGACCATGCTTACATGCAACCTTTTATTTTCTCTGGGGCTAATCAACTGTGTGGTTTTTATATTGGATTTTCTGTATACCTATCACTAATTCATCCCCAAACACTCTGATAGAACTATAACTCCCAGATGTTCGAACACTTCTGTTTCCCTGCTCATTCTGCACTCTTTGTTTTTTAGGCCAGCCCAGAGTCACATAATCTGCACCCTCCATCACCTCTCCTTTGTGCTTTCTTCCCCTTTGTCTCTAGCCCTTTTAGAGAAGCAAATCCTTGAATAACTTTCTGATAAAGGGGGCACCGAGAAGTAACTTTTTGGAAACTCTGTGGTTCTGGAATTGTCTTTATTCTAATGTCGCACTTGATACGTAGTTTGACTACTATGGGATTCCATGATGGAAGTAATTTTCACTCAGAATTTTGAAGGCATTGGTTCATGGCCTTCTGGCTTCCGGTGTGGCTATCGAGAAGTTTGATGACAATTCAAGTCCTAATCTTCTATATATAACCTGTTTTGTGCCCCAGACCACTTTCCCTGTTTCCCAAGCTTCTTTTTCTGAAATTGCACAGCCCATGTGCCTTGATGTGGGACTTTTCCTCCATCATGTCAGGCACTCAGCATATGCACCGTAGTAATGCAGAATGTTGGCAATAGGGGAAACCGGGTGAGGGGTACACGGAAATGCTCTGTACTATCTTTGCAACTTGTCTGCGCATCTAAAATTGATCCTGAAACTAATATAACACTGTATGTTAACTAAAATTAAAGTAAAAACTTAAAAAAAAAATTTAAAGGCAAAATTAAAAGTTCATTTTTTTCTTAAATTCCTGTGGAGAGAGGAGTTAGGCAAAATCACAGTGCAGAAAGTTACTGATTCAGTCCTCTTAAAACAGTGTTTAAATCATCCTACACTGTGTCATAACAGGAACACAAGATTGGAATGGGTTATAACTAGATGGGAATCCTACCCTATCCAGTTATTCAAACCGTAAGAACAAAGAAGAGGTTAAATATAGAAAGAAATGAGAGAAGACATTTAAAATATTTAAAGGTACATGTTTAGTGAAATACACAAAAAATACAGGGCATACTATTCAAATGAGTCCCGATAGTCATTCAGTTCTGAGGCAATCATCACAAATTGAATGAAAAAAATAAATATTAAAATATTTACATTATGAAACACTAGATGGCAGTATTGCAATTATTTTAGGTTTACGGTTGCTGTATGAAGTGTTACTAACATTTAGTTATCCCAACAATGACCACCTACCCCGGCAACCCCTAGTTAATTGCTACTGCCCTTCTAAGGATTTTTCTCCAGAAAGAACTATCTACTTTCTCAGCACTCCACAGCCTCTGGGGTTACTTGACCACAAATGGCAGAATTTAATTTTTCTCAACCTCTGATCTAATTCCCTTCTATAGCCTTCTGAAGTAATTTGGTGTCAGGACCTCTTTACACCCTTAAAAATAATTGAGGCCCCTAAAGAACTTTTTAAAATGTGGATTATATTTATCAATACTTACTGTTTTGGAAATTAAAACTGAGACTTAAAAAAATTACTGATGACTTCATTTAACATAGCATAAAAAGCAGGGAACATAAATAACATATTTTGTGAAAAATAATCATATAATCCAAAACAAAAAATATTTAGTGGGAAGAGTGTTTTACATTTTTGCAAATTCCTTTATGCCTGGTTTAAAAGAAAACAGCTGGATGTTCATATCTGCTTCTTATGCTATTTGTTGCCTCTGTAAAACTCCACTGTACATTCGTAGAGACAAGAAAAAAAAAGGAAAATCATGTCCTTGCATTTATGAAAATAGTTTTGACCTTCTGTACCTCCAAAAGAGTCTCAAGGACCTCAGGGGTCCATGGACCCCACTTTAAGAACCTTTAAGAACCGTAGCTTTCCTGGTACTCTCTTCCTTCCTCTCTTCTAGTACCTTGCTTTGCTACCCACGATCCCTCTGTATTCTTCTGCCTTTAGAGAGAGCTCACTCTACTAACATTCCCTGCACTGAAGTCCTAATGGATATAAGACATATAAATATGTAGCCACAATCTTGAGTAAGAAAGAATTATCTTATTCGTTTATTTTCTTTATGCAAAAAGAATTCTGATTTTATAGACCTATCTAGCAAAACTGCCTGATAATTTAATTTGTCATAATGTAGGTCCCCTCCACTCCATTGGGCCATTCAAGAAAATTTAGATAATATGAAGATCGAATTTTAAAGATGCTTAGTATCTCCATTCTCCCATCTCTCAGTTCTGGCCCATCTTGGTTAGTGCCAAGATGTCTACTATCCAAGCCTGCCATGGGTCCTTCAAGTCCACCTACTCTCTGCTCTTGAAGCACAGAAACCCCTCTCTATGGATGTAAATCTGAGACCTTAGGTTCAATTCCCTCCTCAAAACCACAGAGTAATTCCTTTGAGATCCTGCCACCTTCCCAAGGAACTCCAAACCCTGCTATTCATGAGAGCCACCAACCTCTGTCCCACCTTCCAACTGGTGGGAAACGAGTTACTTGCATTACAGTTCCTCGCCTAATGGCTACCATAATATATGCTCTCGCTAGAAGTCCTAGGAGTGCCAAGAGACTATATCCAGTGACCTCGGGGGTAAAAATACATCTTACAGAAACTCTTCTCTTTGTTAACTGAAAAAAAAAAAAAAAAAAAAAAAAAGCTGTTCTTCAATAAGGATTCAGTTCATTAGTTATGACCCTCTCAATTTAAAATGCTGAAATTCAAAAACCCTGGCTTTCAAAATGTTCCTGTGTACCTGTGTCAGGAGAAAAGCAACATTCTAAATAAGCATTTTTCTGTCTGCAACAAAGACTCCTATGCATTAGCCAAATCCTTTTCCATCTGGGCACACAATCAGACCACATTTGTCAGCTACCTTACAGTTAAATGAGGTCATAGGACTGTGTCTTGACCAGTGGAATGTGGGCAGAAATAATGTGCACCACTTCCAGGCCAGGTTGCTGAGATATGCCCACACAATCATTTGTGTTTCATCCACATGCCATCATTCTACATAGGCTCCACTAGAAAACTATGAGGCCCTAGGGACTCCTAAGATGGAAGGAGCCTGGTTCCCGTATCACCACATGGAGCAGGACCCATACAGACTCCATTAGCAACCCGCTTCAGACTGTGGTACGAATGAGAAATAAATGTTTACTTTGCTAGGCCATTGAGATTGGGGAGTTGCTGAGAAACACACTTTCTGAATAATGACTATGTTTTAAAAAGGCCAAGGAAAAAGCCTAATTACTTCAAAGTGTTTTTTTTTTTTTTTTCCTTCTTGCAGGGAGACTCTTTGGTGGTATCACATCACTGGAGGGAAAAAGCAGTGACAGAGAGAGTGAGGGCTGGGGCTGGTATGAGGCACTAAAGGGCAAATCTACCCCAGGTTGTTCGTGCAATGGATTATTCATCTTAACTTTCTGCATTTGTCAAGAAAGATCTAGTCAAAACTTAACCTGAAGAGTCACATTTTACAAGAGTGCTTCCCAAACAGACCCCTTGATTCCTGAGAGTCATCAAGCTATTTTTAATATTTCAATGATTCTAAATGCAATTGTACATTTACTTCCTATCAAGTCTCCCAGTCTTTCTAAAAGTTCAGTTTTATTACTTTAGGTTGGAATTATATGAACTCATTGTGGTAATATGAGTTTCTCATGCATGAAAATGCAAAAATGAATTTGTTATAACAATGCTCTCAGTTTCTTAGTAGATAGAATCTGTCAAACATGAGGTCCAGAAAGCAAATCTGTTATAAAAGGAATCTTTGTGAAATTCCGAAGTATGAACACACGTGTGTGGGAGACGGGGTAGGGGCATTTATTAATCTGGACCACCCAGGATTCAATCAACTCTCAGGCTTCTGTTGGTAACAGAATTTGATTTTCCTTTGACTACCTGTTTTCCTCTATGCAGCCCACATTCTTCTGGAAGAGCTAACACTGCACCCCACCCACTAATCTACCAGCTCTAGGGATTAATTTTAGGCCATCTTCACATCTCTCGTCGGCTAAGGGATTGGATTAAAGGTGGGCTTGAAACCCAAACAATAAGATGTGAGAAAATGTACTTTTAGGGGTTCTGAGAGAGAAGCTGTTTCACTCTTCCATAGATGTTACCTGAACAGACATCCTCTTCCTGCTACAAATGAATATGGAAGTTTTGGGCAACTGTTTCAAAAATATAAAGAGGATGACCTTTTGGATATGGAAGAAAGATGGAAGGAACTGTACCTTTGAGAACCAATAAATTGCCTTTATGGTTTAGGCCTATTTGGGTTGGGTTTCCTATTACTTGCAACCAAAAGTT